CTGATTTAGATGCATAGTCTATAGTAATTGTACAGTAAATTATAGGAGTGACATGGGACTGTTGCATTATCCAGCCCTATGTTATTATGCAACAAGTAGACAAACAGGTCTTTTTCTGAGTGTCTGATAGGTACATAATATGTGCTTGTTTTTTATTATAGCTTTGGGCACATGATGAGCAAAGAGAAGAGGGAGAGTATTTCCAAAGAGGACTTGGCCCGAGCCACGCTCGTCACAATTACAAACAACATTGGCTCCATCGCACGCATGTGTGCAGTTAATGAGGTGTGTGTGTGTGTGTGTGTGTGTGTGTGTGTGTGTGTGCATCTGCGTGCAGTCACCAGCAGCTCTGAGCATCTGTCTGGCCACTCTGGGCTTCTCTACAGTGTTGCCTTGTAGCCTGGTGATCAAGCAGCATTGTACAGGGCTTTCAGGGTGTACAGAACATCATCAGAGCAGAAACTCCCAACAATATGCAGAGAATACATGGTATCACATTAGCTACTATCTATGACAAGATGATGGTGGCAAATGCTTTAAATTTTACCAAAAACACCAATTTGAGCACCTCCTATAAAAAGTCCATAAAAGGAATTGCTTGTGCTGGGACTCCCCCTGGTGGTCCTGCAGGAAACAAACTAATTTAAACAGACTCATGAAATTTACGCCTGCAGCAAGAATGTAACACTCAGCACTCAGTTTAACTAATTAAATAGTGTTTAAATCTGTTCTGTAGATTCTGTAGATTTTCTTCCAAAATGAGTGTGGAAATGTGAAAAACATCCACGAATTCTATCTGGGCTTGGTCATGCTGAGTGATGTTTCTGTTTTGTCCTGTAGAAAATCGAACGGGTTGTTTTTGTGGGGAACTTTCTGCGTATAAACACTGTGTCGACAAAGCTTCTTGCCTATGCTATGGACTTCTGGTCCAAGGGCCAGCTGAGGGCCCTTTTTCTGGAACATGAGGTAATTCTCTCTGTTTTAATAATTAATTTTTAATCTGTTGCATTTATTTTCACTCAAAATGAAATGCACTATATTTAAAAAGATTGAGGTCTGTAAAATTTGTTAATGTTTTTCATTAAAAACATCCCACAAAGTCTCTCATGCTCACCCAGGCTGCATTTATTTAATCAATAATACAGTGAAAACCGTAATATCATGAAATACTATTAAAATTTAAAATATCTTTTCTATTTTAATGTATTTTAAAATGTAATTTATTTATGTGATGGCAAAGCTGAATTTTCAGTCGTCATTACTCCACTTCCCAGTATCATTCTAATATGCCAATATAGAAATATTTTTCATTATTATTAATGTTGAATAAAATAATACTGGACCCAAACTTTTGACGTAGTGTATAATAGTGAAAATTCTCAGAATAATTTATCTTGTATAGTGGTAGTACACGTATGTTTATATGTACACTTAAATGTGTGTTTCAGGGATACTTTGGCGCTGTCGGTGCTTTTCTAGAACTGCTGAAGTCGTCTGATGATGCATAAAAGAAAGAAATCATCATCTCTGATCCAGAAACTACTTTAAGACTTGCACACAGAAGCTCCAACAGGAATACTGGGAACACTGGGAAATTTAAATGAAGCCATTATACTAATTAACCTGTAAATAACCCTTAAAATAAGATTCTAAACAATATTTTTATGAGTAACTTAGTCTCCCTCAGACTGCCAACTGTAACGTAACCTTATTGCTAATTTGTTTTCTGGTTGTTTTTGTTGTTGTTTTCATTTTGTAATGTTTGTAAATATCATTGTGAGAGTTTATTGATGGCCAAAACCTGCTCTGTTAAAGTTTCGCTATTCTTGTCATGCCCACCAGGTGGTTTCTGTTTTAGGTCTGGTTAAATGATGGACCTTTTAAGAGTTTTTTTGCGTTAAACTGCTGTTCAAACCCAAAATGATGTCTGACACACTATTCTAGTTAATTGTTAAGCCTCAGGTGCTATGTTAGATGTGTGCCGACTGACAGGGATCCTCGTAGTAAGGAAAAGACACTGGTCTCTATACAGCATAGAGCAACCTTTTTTGCGGTTGCCTCTCCTTTCACTCTTCCTCTTCACTACAGTTAAGAGTTCTCCATGCATTTATGCATGAAAGTAATTTTAAACGGGAATCTATTCACTCTTGGAATTATATCAGAATAGTTGAACTTTTTAAAGATATATTTACACTGATTCACATGAAGCCTTTACTTATAAAAGAATACACAGAAAGCTCAGGGTGTCACTTGTATTTTTGAGAGGGAATTCTGTGGGACCAAGTGGCCAATTTGACAGACACTTCAGATAGAAAGCTCCCCTAACATCCCATATTTTTTGTCTTCTTTGTCCAGCTTTGCCTTTTTTTCATCCTGCCTTTTCCCATACTTTTTCCTATCTAAACCAAAGCTACTTCTGTCATCTTTTTCTGGATGCACACAGTTATATGCATATACCCCCTCTTTGGTTGCCTTCCTCTTATCTAGAATGGTACTAAGAGTACTTGAAGTAGCCGTGCGATGACAAAACAGAAAGATTAAGTCACTATGACAGCAGTTACCCACAACCCCCGTTGCTTAGTATTTTTAAATCTCAAACCTGTTTAGACAGTTCTAAGACTCAGCCATTGTGTTTCCATTGTAGTGCCAAAGTGAGACCGGGAGGAGTCAAACCATTCCTGCTTTGCCAGGCCATGTACCACATTACTTCTCCTAAAAGTTGCCTAGCATTAAGAGTATTTCTAAGATCATTCTAAGTCCAATATCGTATGTCATTGAAAATATAAACACCACTCCCTTACTAGTTAACTCTGTTGTTCTATTCTCCTTGCTGTCTTTCTTGCCTTCTTTGTGATTGATCTGTTCTTTTAACCTCTGTGGCTGTTTTTAGGTTGTGTTTTCATTTTATTTAATTTTTTTTTTTACTTTTATTACATTTTTGTTATTTCTGTCATTTTAACTGAGATTTCCTGGGTAACTTAAACTTCAAATCTGATTTATTTTTTTTTTTTCATAAAATCAAACAATTAAAAAATTGTTTGGTTAAAAATGTTGTATACCTTTATAATATTTAATTATGGCTTTGGTTGGCCTTGAATATTTTGAATTAAATTATTTAACAGCATATTTTGGGTACAAAATTTGATGGTCATTGTGTGATTTGATTTTAAATTTGTTAATGTTATTATTTTTGTTATTACTGGATTTTTTTTAATGAAAATTATCCGGTTTTAAACCCCTCATTCTAGATTAGGATGCTCTTTTTGTTTGTATACCAAACAGTGTATCAATATGAGAGTTGTATGCTGTATGGATGATTAACATTGATAGGGATTGTACATTTATGTTAGTAAGATGCAAGTATGAGCATGTTTTTTTAAGTGTTCAAGCCTGTGTAATTGCACTGCACAATTCTATACTTAAAGCTGTCATTCATTGTGCATTAGACCACAAAAAACAGCTGCATGTTTTGCAAACATTGGTAAGGTTTGAAGTAACTTTTGTTGTCATACCAGTAAGCAACAAAACCAGCTGCCAGTTACAGCAATTTTGTTTGGTAAAGAAACAACGCACAGACCTTACAGTTTAAAAGCTGTATTAGTCTATATCATAGACGGTTGTACTAATACAAATCCTTAGGTATCATTTTAATGCATATGGTTCTCTTCCTCTGAAAGGTGACCTTTCACTCCTGACTTTACTTGCTATGCAGTAAAGTCAGTTGCGCTGAATGTTGTTGGCTAAAAGCAGCTTGGTTAAGAGAGAGTTCGAAACTAGCTGCTCGTGTCCTGTCTGCCTTTTTTGTCAGTAACACTTATAAAGAGAGAAAAGGGGCTTTTGAAACATTATTGTTCTTTTTCTGTATCTGGGTGTTTTCTTTTAATTCCTACTGACATTTTTAAACATTATCCTTTGAGTTGCTTGTTTGATGCTACTTTAATGGATACTTTCTGCTGTTATATTCGATTGTACAAACATGTAAATATTCCTGTCTTTGTTTTTCACCTCTCAGATGTCATTAAAGCCACACTGTTGAAATTTGTGGCTTTAAGAAAATATGAGAGATTTGATGTCTGTGTGATTCACTGGGTTTAATTGGATGCTATTATGCAAGAACATTTTAAAGAATAATAAAGTTAAAATGTTATTATTTACGATTTTGTGTTTTATTATTTTACGATTTTGTCTTAACACGTTGATAATGCAAATGTAGGGTAGCCTAGGCTACTTACTAAACTGAACATGAGAAAGGGAACGAGGACAAAAATGTTAGGTACAATTGAACCATTCATTACCTCTTAAAACTTACTAGATAAATGCTTTTCAAAAGCAAATGAGTGGCTCACCTTGCCCCCTAGGGTAATATGCATAGGCAAACCGCTGTTCTCCTGTTATCTCCTGACTGGCCTCCTTAAAGCTATAGCTTGAACCCTAAGAACTCAAAACAAACGGTGGGGGTGGGGTCTTAAAAGTACATATTCTTTTTACATATCAATATATGTCTCGGTTTTGAATTTTCAAACACTTAAGTAATCACAAAAGTTAGTTTACAAGACATTTTGGGCTTGTATTTTTCAGACATAGGCTGAATTATTTTGCTGAGGAGTAGGCTACAGTAGTACTTTTTAGGGTCATCATCGGACAAAACTAAAACTATTATTGATTTAGATAGGTTTTACATTTTAAATATACCTTAAGGAACTTTAGTGTAGATGTCAAATGATTTTTAAGTTGACAGCTAAATGTAGGCTACTGAGTTTGACCAAAGGAGAGCTTGAGTTGCTCGAGACGAACCTCAACAGACTGTGTCCTGAAAACGTCCTATTGAAATTCTATTAAAATAGTCGACCCCCCTGAAAGTCATTGTATAATATGCACAGGGTGGGGTGAGAGAGAGGGAAAACATGGCAAATATCCGACCCGGGACTGCAGTTAACGGTAGTTTAGACCTCAGACATGAAAGCAAGTAAGAGGTCCCCTGTACTTCCACCCGTTGGCTGGTTGTTTTCCGCCCTGTTGTTCTGTCCAAGCGCGCACGCCGCGCAGTGATGCAGAGCCATGTGCGCCAATGTGTTCCGCCACACTTTGGAGGAGCGCAGCGGTTGTTTTTGTTCCTCGTCTGCTCTAGATTCTGCACACTGAGAAGTGTGTTTCAGAGTAAGTTCGTTTCTCTTTGACCTCTTCAAACGTTCAGTCATGTATTTTGTTTGTTTGTATGTTGTTGAGAATTGTTCTCATCTGCTAATTCATAATTATTTGTCTAGCTAATGTTTTTTAAAGACAGAACATTTTATGCTTGTACCTGTATTGATCCAGAAAGATTATTTTTACATTCACTCTTCTGACCTCTCCTGGTTCCAACTATTCAGCTGGTTGCAATTATTCAGTACTCCATGTCTGTTTTTTGCTCTATGTTTATGAAGTGTTTATCACAGTTGTGCTGCTTATTTTTGCGGAAACAGTGATACATTTTTTCAGGATTTTTTGGTGAATAGAAAGTTAAAAAGACTGCATTTATTTGAAATAGAAGTCTTTTGTAACACTAATGTCTTTACTGCCACTTTTGGTCAATTTAGTGCTGAATAAAAGCAGTAATCGCTGAAAAATGCATTTAAAAAACATCTTACTGACCCAAACATTTGAACAGTAGTCTATTTTAAATGTTTGGGTTAGTAAGATGTTTTTTTTAATGACTATCTCTCATTTTTCAAGTTTCAGAAGATGTACCTTCAGTGAGGCGGTCTGTTGAGTCTTTAATTTAAAGACTGAGTCATCGCATAAATTCTGACTGTGGTTTAACGGACATAGATTGAGGTGAGTCTATACCAATCAAGCCCAGCACAAAGTTGTTTTTTCAATGTCTTTGTTCCATGTCTGATGATTTTAGCAATAAAGTAACTACTTTTGCCCCATTAATTAGTTTTTGGCCCTCTCTCTTGGAATTGATGAAGACACACTGTGTTCCTTGCCTCCCTTTGGACCAGACTAGTGTGTGTAGTAACTTGGTCACACTCTGTATCATGGAGTGTTTATGTGGCAGACTCAGACAGGCTCTAATTTCTTTATTTTGCTCTTACTTACTAACCATAGCATTCACACGTTCATGAGGGTGAGCAAATGATGACAAGAATGTTCATTTTCTGGCTGAACTATCCCTTTTATCTCAGAGACATAAGTGATACATTTTTAGTATTTAATCAAAAGCACCACAGTGTAATTTGAGGTAAGTTCACAATAAAAATTGAGATTTTTTTTTCACACAGACTGATTTAGATTGCACATACATTTTGAGAAGAAGGCTAAAGTTTAAAAAAAATGTCTGTTTCTCCTGCAGATTTTGCTTGATGGCATTTAGAAGCTCCTTATATATGAAAGGAAGAGAAAAACAGCAAGTAAATTTGTCCCAAACAGAGCCAGAGAGAGCAAAACCAGCTGAAACTGGACAGAAGAGGAAACAAGAGGCTGAAAGGAGTGAGAGAGTGAGGGAGAGGATGAAGAGAGGAAGCATCTTGTCCAGCAGAAGTCTAGAGATGAGTGAAAAAACTCCACATTCAGCGGCCGCTCCTGATGGCGGATGGGGCTGGATGATCGTAGCCGGATGTTTCCTCACCACTGTTTGCACACGTGCAGTCACTAGGTTAGTTCATGACTCCCCCAGGATCAGTTTTTTTTTTTACCTTACCTCACCAAGAATTAAGGTGATACCCTCATGCCACTTCAGTTTTTGCAAATTTAATGTGAGCCTAAATTAAGCTAAAAGCTGCAGAAATGGCCTTTAAACTCAACCAAGATTCTTATGTTCTCTTACGTTTTTAAATACTGAGCCACTAGCCAAGACTGAATTACTCATGTCTTTTAATATTAAATCATTAAATAAGCAGAATAACTACCCCAGGAGTAATACCCAGTTTTAGATGTTGTGCTTAAAAGGAATAAAATTAATGTTGCTCTAAGCACCAGAAGACCTTTATCATATTGCTTTCTCAAATCTGCACTTTCTCATGCTGGTTGCAGGTGTGTTTCCATCTTTTTTGTGGAATTCCAGTCATACTTTTCCAGAGATTATTCTGCAACTGCATGGATACACTCTCTGCTGGACTGCACCACAATGTTGTGTGGTAAGACTAATGCCAAAATAAAAAAAAAATCCCCAATGTTCTCTCTATAGAAAAACTCTCTGACTCAAAGGTGGCAGCTCAAACTGTATAAAACTATATTGATTTTAGGAGAACTTTGTTTAAAAAAAAAAAAGTCTCTGTTGACAGGTTTACAGTGCATAGTCCACTCTAAACCAGATTTATCTGGCTGCTGGTGAGAAAGAATGTTCACAGAAACACATTTTCATATTTATGTAAGGGCCTTGGTTATATCTTGTGGTATCTGTTTTTCACAATTCTTTTACTTAGTTTAAGCAGTTAGATATTATAGTATTTGTCAAATGTTTGAGATTACATACACATATCAATACATATTTATTGATAAATATATCATAAAGATAAACATATTCTTAAAAGAACTGTAAAGGTTAATAAAAAACATATGCAGATGTCACCTTAAGGAGCTAGCTTTTCCAGTGTATCTGTTGAAACACATTTTTAGGATGTTTTTTTTTTTTTTTTAATAAATTGTTTTAGAAGGCGGTGTCATAAATAATAATCTTTTATTTATTGGTATAGGTTGATATTGTATATTTATCAGTTAATATTCAATATTTATCTTGCTATCCACCACTTTCTCTTCATTCTTTTTCTCATTCTCTTTATAGCTCCACTGAGTAGTTATATAGGGAACCGCCTCTCTTCTCGTATAGCTATCATGTTTGGTGGGCTTCTTTCCGCTGCCGGCCTGCTGCTCAGCTCACTGGCCACCAGTGTGGAGTTCCTGTATCTCACACTGGGTGTTCTTACAGGTTTGATTCAGATTTGCACACATACAAGCATACAAGCTTTTATTTTAACTGCACTGATAATCATAATTTGGGGAAGCTATTGTAGTCACCTTGCCCTGCAATTATTATATCAATTTGCAACAAACTAGGCAGGCATGTCCGTAGTCATGTACAGGTGCATCTCAATAAATTAGAATGTCGTGGAAAAGTTCATTTATTTCAGTAATTCAACTCAAATTGTGAAACTCGTGTATTAAATAAATTCAATGCACACAGACTGAAGTTCCCTGATTCTCTGCACAGGTGTGGGATTTGCTCTCAGCTACACTCCTGCAATTGCCATGGTGGGTTCTTACTTCAGCGAGAGAAAAGCGCTGGCTTACGGGATCGCCATGTCAGGCAGCGGCATCGGAACCTTCATACTAGCACCCGCTGTCCAACTCCTCATTGAGCTCTTCTCCTGGAGGGGTGCGCTGCTCATTCTGGGGGGTTTGGTGTCCCACATGTGTGTCTGTGGAGCACTTATGAGGCCTTTGGAAGGTCAAAGCGGGAGACAGAAAGAGATGGACTTGGAGGGTGGCAAAAAGGTTGATTTCCTAAATGTGAAACTTGCTGATGCAGGGCACAATATGGAAGTGAGTGCACAGGAACAGAGATCGGTGGAGGTAAAACATACGAATATGGAAAAGAGTGGGGAAAATGAACATGCTGAGAATATGCAGAGCGATGGAAAAGAACGGATGGAGTCAAAGCCTTCTGATGCAAAGCAAACACACTCCAATGTGGAAATAAACCTTAGACAGGAAGACTCAGAGGACTCAGAGACTATGACCAGAAGCACAGATGAATGGGACAAAGAATCAAAGCCAAAGTGCTCAGATACAGACATCTCAGTCCCAGCTTTAGTACAATCAGGTGACTTGCCTTTGGACTGTTTGCCAACCAACCAGGAGGACACAACTTTCCCAGAATCAAACACTAACCACAATACTTTGGCACAGTCAAAAGTGGCAAACACAAAATTACTGAAGCAGTCCAGGGACAATGTATGGTCTATCATAAGGAAAACAGTATTGAGAGAATATTCCTTCCTGTTGATACCAGACTTCTTATTGATGTTGGTGTCCTTCCTGTTCCTTGCATATGGTTGCAGTGTGCCATTTGTGTATCTTGTGCCATATTCCCTGAGTGCAGGTGTCAGCCCTCAGCAGGCAGCATTACTCATGTCCATACTTGGAGTGTCAGGGATTGTCGGTACTATCACTTTTGGATGGATTGCAGATAGAAAGTAAGAGTTTGTTGTGATTTTATTTCTAACTCTCCCATAAATTGCAATATTATAGACATTTAAAGGGATAGTTCCCCCAAAAATGAAAATTATGTCATTAATTACTCACCCTCATGTTGTTCCAAACTGTAAGACCTTTGTTTATCTGTGGAGCACAAATTAAGATATTTTTGATATGCAATGCAACTGAAATGTTCCCAGACCCAGAAACGCAGTAAGGACACCGTTAAAATAGTCCATGTGACATCAGTGGTTCATCTGTAATTTTACCAAGCTATGAGAATACTTTTTGTGTGCAAAGAAATCAAAAACAATGAAAATATCTTAATTTGTGTTCCAAAGATTTGGAACGACATGAGGGTGAGTAATTAATGACAGAATTTTCATTTTTGGGTGAACTATCCCTTTAAGAGCTACATCTACACTAGACGCCTGTTAACTTGATAAAACCTGTGGAGGTAGGCATAAAAAATGTGATATTGTAATCTGTTTTTAAATTCATATTCATGTCTTCTAAGGTAGATTAAATCTATACATTCAGTACGATTGGAAATCAACCCTATCACCTTTTCTGGGTCCAAACGCTCAAACAGATACCAAAAGCAAACAACAAGCAGTGCTGATACACACTCACAGTGAGCTCTGTTTTCTCCATGCTGAAATCTTACCTGGCCACACAGTAATTCATATGTTCTGAATCATTAAAATATTGGTGTCTGGGACAGCATGAGACTTTAGTGTACACTGTGAGTTTTTAAAAGCTTGACTAAAAGGTGTGCTATTAATAGTGCTCAAACGGCTACTGATATACAATTCTCACTTGAAACAAAGTAGAGATTCCTGCACTACTTATTCAATGATACTGAACCACTGCTATTGTAATTCTTCACAATTCCTATCCTTCACACTGTGGTTTGATCTGTATCTATGTGTGTTGTGTTCAGGTGTTTGAGGCCATATAGGGTGGTGAGTTACATGCTGGCTGTGGGGTCAGAAGGGCTGAGTTGTCTCTTTCTGCCTCTGCTGAATGGTTTTTCCCTGCTCGTCCCCTTTTCTCTCATCTACGGCTGCTTTGATGGAGCTTACGTGGCACTTATTCCTGTGGTGACCTCTGACACTGTCAGCTCCACCCACCTGACCTCAGCTCTGGGAGTTGTTTACTTTCTTCACGCCATCCCCTACCTCATCAGCCCACCTATTGGAGGTCAGCAGATTTTCCACTCTCTATTTAACTGAATGATATGTAAATTAAATTAAACAAACTAATGAACTAAATTAGTGTTTTCTCTCTCTCTTAGGTTGGCTAGTGGATCAGACAGGTTCCTACACAGCTACATTCGTCCTCAGTGGAGTCGCTCTGATCTGCAGTGCTGTGATTCTGGCTGCTGTGAGAGTTACCATCCGTTGCACTAGAGGGAGCTCTTGCTTAAACTGACTCACAACCAGGTACAATGGAGATTTCTAAAGCAGTAGAAAAATACTGCGACATTGATGTCAAGAAACATGAAAGTGACCCTCCAGAGTTAAAAAGGGTTTTCACGTGTTCCTGATCTGAAGCTTAATATCAGTCAGAGTGATTGCCACAAATACATGCTCTTTTGTAGCATTAATGAACACAGAACTGACCAAAAGAACACACTGCTCTACTACTGAAATGCAGGATGCAGGATTAACCAATTGGTTAAAAGCGTGTTTGCTACAAAGGAAATTTATTTTGTATTTGATACTTATTTGTTATTTTAATGTGTCTCTCTCAGCTGATATCTGATTGGCTAGTCAGAGAAATGATCAGATGTGCTTTTCCCAATAGTTCCATGTACACTGCTTCATTCACAGCTCAGTGTTTTTATAATGTACACTACCGTTCAGAAGTTTAGGGTCTGTAAGATTTTGATTAAAAAAAAAAAAGTCTCTTACGCTCACCAAGGCTGCATTTGTTTTATCAAAATACAATAAAAAAGCAATATTATTACAAATATTGACATATTATTACACTTGAATTTTTATTTTAATATATTGTAAAATGTAATTTATTTTTGTGATGGAATAATTTGCTGAATAAAAGTTTTAATTTCCTTCAAAAACAAAAAATAAATCTTACTGACCCCAAAATTTTGTGACGTGTATACAGCTACATACACCACTGTAAACCTCACTGTCCTAAAAACATTTAAATCAAATGTCATCTTTTTAATGTCATAAATGTTATCGATTGATAACAATTGAGTTATCAATATGATAACTTGTGTACATATTTTATGTTAAATGTTTTCAATACTACGTTTTTAAATATGGCAAAATGCGATGGATTTTTTCTAATTATGCATCAATCTACAAAGCTTTCTTTGGACTTGGATATTCTGTGTGAGCCATTCAGAGAATGCCTTGGTGAATAGACTTTATGGATTGAAAAATGGCTAAATGTCAGGGAAACAAGAATAATATGAGATGCTATAGTATATATAAACAGTATCAGATAACCTGTATTTCATATAAAGATCATGGACAATATTCTCCCTTCGAAAAGAATTATGGGTATTCGACAAGAAGAGAAACAAATTACATGTAATCTCTTGATTTAAACTTTTAGAAAGTACATCAAATACCTTGTGACTCTGAACAGTACACATTTATTTGTATGTGACCTTGTTTCGTGCTGGAACACTGTTACAATAGATCATTTTCAGTTTGTCACAATGTATCTTCAGTCTCTCCATTGGCAAGCTAAAGTTCTTTGGAAAATGTGAAAAGAAAACATACATTTCTAATGTTTGAAAATCACTTATCTGTGAGAAAAGATTTTTAATTAGCATATTATTGCAAACAGTAAACACAAAGTTTCAAAATCAACAAAGCAGGCAGATCTGATCAAGTAGAAATGAGAAATAAATGAATCAGTGTTTTATAATAAATGTTTATTCTATTTGAAACAGCAGGACATGTAAGCAACACATCTGTATATCCACTTTTCAGAAATGAAGGTCTCAAAGAAAAGCAATTATAAAAGTGTTTTATATTCACATGTGAACAGTAGTTATAATTAAATGCAATAAGCAATGCAAGGGCTAACTTTACTTTGAGACGATCGGGATCATGTCTGACAACCTCCTCAAACAGCTCAATGGATTTCCTAGCCAAAGTCTCCCTTTCCTCACTGTCATCCTTCATCAAGAAAACCTTACATTTGTATAAATTAGCTACGATTCTAAGAACTGTAGTAGAGGTGGGAAAATTTTCTCGAACCCTTTCTCCGTCTTGAAAACATCTCTCTGTGGAATCTTCTGTAATACTGAAAAATACCCTGGCAATCCCTCCATGTTTTTGGTTTCAAAGGTTCTCTCTAATAAAATTTGTATTTCTTCATCATTGTTTTCTGCTAGCACCTCAGACTTTTTCAGTATTTAAAGGAACTGAAGGAACAAATCATTTAGGTCTATCACTATTGCCTTTTACAACTGCGCTAAAATTTCAGCATTCAGCTCTGGAGTGAATTCAGATTTTCTGTAACCCTTGCTCATTGCTATGGCAAGACCTTTGTGCCATTCCTTCCTTTCTGGTTCTGATTTTAAAGCCATCTTAAAATAATAAATCGCCTGACGCTTCTTGGACTTGTTGAACTTCACCAGCGTCCAGCCATTTTCTCCACTGACTTCAGGGTGTAGAGCACATCCAGGTGGAGCAGGATGCATTCCCTGAAGCCTCTCCACCTCTTCTAGGTATCCTTTGCTCTTATCCATCTCTCCCATAAAGAAGTAGACCCAAGCCAGGTTAGCCTTGTTGACCTGCAGCCAGACTCCAGCTTCTTTTGCTCCCTGCATCACACTTTCTGCTTTGTGCAGGTACTTCAGCGCCTCTGTGTTGAAGCCGAGAGTCTGTTGGATGTAGCCCAGCAGGTTGTAATGGTGAACTAGCCTGGTGCATCCCAGCTCTTAGATGTCTTGTATGTTCCTCTCTAACTCATGGAGCTCATTTTTATTGCACCCCAGATCCCAGGTGAAGTGGCACTCCAGCTTCTCAAGGGTGCATTTCAGAGGATAACTGAAAGAGAGAGCTTCATTAATGAACAGTAATGCACAAATGCTATTTTGCTTACATCACCCAATAAAGTTCACCTATTCTCATATAATGTCAGAGAACAGATTGGGGTCAAAGAACCCGTTTATTCTTGGTTTACGGTGACTGCAAATTCAGCATTTGAAGCATTTGTATTTATTTAGTGTTTTTGTTTATTTTGTGTATTTTAAAGTTACTTCAGTGTGAGCCTCTGTCCTTGTAAGTGTAACATGTATATGTGTCGGCAGCTTCAGCTTGTGAGGAAACTTTGGACTTCATGGAGTCTGAAGTATTGTCTGTTAAAGATGTACGACAGCAGACAATGCCTCACACCCCTCTCAAAAGTCCTGGGCCCAAATGAGTGACAGAAGCATAGGGAAAAAAAGTTTCATGATTGATATTCTGTGACAATCGTCCCTCAATCTCCAGAACAACTTCAAAAAAACGAAGAGAGAAGGACCTTGTCATATCATTATCCAGTTTGGCATGAAAAATGTACACAACGTGGTATGAAGGATCATACATGCACCGGTCTGGTTTCAAGGGAAAAATCAGCTTCAGAGAGGATTTTTGCAAGGACGACAGAGAGGCTCATGCTTGACATGGAAGCATGACAAAGAAGAACAACATACCTGCAAGAAGGATATGCAGTGATTAATGGTCAGAGAGTAACTGCTTCCTCCATGGTGAATGCAGTGATGTGACTGGTTTTTGAGCTGTAATTTTTATTTTTGTGAGGAGAGTACTGAAATATAAGGCACATAAACATCTGAATCTAGAATAAGAGGAATAATATCTGAAACTTAGCAGTTCTTTCATTGCAGTTCATTTCAGTTATTTGTCTCTTTCTCTGTTATCTTTAAATGGCACTTTTTTTTTTGTTGTTGTTGAAAGAAGCAAGTAAAAGTTAATTGTTTCTTTCGCATTCAACTGATGTAGATTTTGGAAGTCACAATGGGGTGGAGACCACTGATATAGATCAGTGGTGGAGAGAGACACTTTATTTTCTCATGGAACTTCCCATTCAGCAGGGGTCGCATTTTTGTTTAATTGATTACAATTATTGCAAGTTCAGGCAATAGTAAGGGCCATTGGATTATGGTGATTCTTGAATCTAACTTATGTAATTATATATTGATTAATGTTTATTGGTTACACTAACAAGGCCGCTAATAGTTTTTTTTTTTTTTTTTCAGAATATGGCTTTGATGACTGGAAGAACATATATGTCTTACAGATAAAATTATTATTGAAGGAGATTTTAATGCTGTTCCAGATGAAAGGCAGGATAGATATCCTACTTCTTTCAACACATTTAATCTGTTTTGTTAATGATTAAGGATGTCAAAATATAGAATTAACTGCAGAGAAGGGGTCATATTGAACATTAAAAGATTGGCAATAAAAGAAGGGAAACTTTTTTGCAAATACTAGAAAATCAAGGCAGTTAACAATCTTATCAAGATGACAATACCTTGGTAACAAAGATATTTTGAGTGATATAGAGCAGAAAGAATTTCATGTATAGTCAAAGTTGAACAGATTTTATACAGAAAATGCTAAAGGAGCATTCTTAAGATCTAGAGGCAAATGGATTAATAATAATAATAATAATAATAGTAATAATAATGTTTAGCGCCTTTCTACAAACCCAAGGATGCTTTACAATAATTCCACATTCAATACAATAAATCCACATTCACATGACAGCAAAATAAAGACATACATAAGAGAAAAAACACAGATCAGGAGACAGGTAAATTAGAATAGCACAAAGTGAAAAGATATGTTTTCAGGTGGGCTTTGAAATCCCGTAATGAAGCGAATATGCTGGGGAAGAGAGTTCTAGAGTGTGGGGGCAGCGATACAGAAGGTCATACCGCCAAATGATACTAGTTTATGCCGGGGAACTTGTAACAGGCCAGATTCAGAGGACCTAAGTGCACTGGAAGGGGTGTAGGTGTGTATGAGATCTGATTGAGGGGTGAGACCATGGAGAGCTTTGAATGTAATGAGGAGTATTTTGTATTGAATACAGAAACGAACAGGTAGCCAATGTAGTCTGGATAAAACAGGAGTAATGTGAGAAGATTTCTTGGTATGTGTGAGGACCCTAGCTGCTCGGAATATACTGAAGCTTATTTAAAGTTTAAGAGGGGAAACCTTGTTATTTCTTTCATTTAGAAAAACACAAACAAGCTTTAAAAACTATTAATAAACTTGGCAATAATAACCACATAAGTGAAGACACTGATTGAAAACACTCATTGATGATTATTTATTCCTTCTGATTTATAAATCAAGATTTAATAAGAGAGATGGTGATGTTTTCCTTTCTTAAAATATAAAGTTCCTATTATAGACAGTGATTTTAGAAAAATGATGGAAGCTGATACTGATAATTTAGAATTAGATATTGCTATTACTCAAATGTCCAAAGGAACGTCCCCAGGTATCAATGGGATTACAGTAGAAACGTTTTTGGCCCGAAATACGAATCCTAGTTTTTGACTAAAAGAGTAAAGCTAATTTATCACCATCTATGGAAGCACGGTTTAATTATTCTAGTTCCAAAGTCGAACAAGGACTAATTATTTTAGACAAGCTGGAGACAACTGTTTGCAAATAGACTTAAAAAAAGGCGTAGTTTGGCCTATAGTGCAACACAATCGGCTTTTATTAAAGGGAGAAGTATTCATATTAGATTAGTCCTTGATTATAACCTAACTATCTAATTCCTCAGACAAGTTTACTTTTCCACAAAAGCCACACGGATCCACTTCAAAATGAAATATTTTCTGTATAAAACCACTATTAACAGAGTATATTATTATATTTATTGTAGATGTGCTTTACGTTGTTGGTTGTCATCTGTCTTGTAGTGTATCATTTGTAATCATTCAAGCAGTCAATCAATCAATAAACAAACAACGTCGTCTGCGTGACTGCGTCCGCCTTGCTCCTGTAGTCAATGCCATCTAGAGTTTTGGCTGTTTTTTTTATGAATGCAAACATCACAAAGATGACATTAAAGATATACAACTTTGTATAGAGTACACAACATTTATCAACAATATGTACAATGTCATCTGAACATACAGAACAAAAAAAAAAGAAAGAAAAAGTAAAAATTGGAAGAAAGGACATGAGGGTAAGATATTAATTTATATTTCAATTAGAGTATACAAATTAAAGTCATTACAAATTGAGGTTGTTCTTCTCGCTTTCTTGTTTACAGAGGATGAAATAGTATTAAGATACATTTTAAATTCTTTCAAAAAAACAAGAAAAATTGGTTTGTTGTTGGTGAATTTACATTTGTGGATATAGAATTTGCCAAGAAAATACATTTAATTTATAACAAAACAAGCTTTGTTTTTATAGAATCAGAATCAAAGTGTCCAAAAATAATATCTTTAAAAGTAACCAATAAATCTTGTTGGATATTATCTTTAATAAATGTTTCAATATCTTTCCATACATGACCAAAATGTTTCTGTGGACAGTTTCTGTGTGAACTTGGCAAAATGAGCATCTTGTATCAATATTGGTTTTATATTTAATCATAAAATATTTAACAGGCTAAAATGTATTTATTATTTTAAAAGACACTTCTTTTACTTTATTGGTGAGAAAATATTTTTGTTGTAAAGACCAAATCTTTTTCCATTTTAAATTTTTTAATAAATTATTCCAGTAAAAGATTGCAGGAGATATCAAGATAATATATTCAATAAACAGGGATCTATCTTTAATGTTTCTATCTTTTTTTTCCAGAAAAACATATTTCAACTATTGGAGTGTCCATTGGCTCAGGGAAAGCAGTAGTTATAGTAGTAGATTGAGTGTAATTTTTAAAAAGCATACAGATTCCTGTTTGTATCGCTCCCATAACTATGGCAAATTCTTTGGGAGTAACTGGCATATTGTATCCTGAAAGAAATTCTGCGTAAGTCATTAGTAAACCTTTGTTGTTAAATAGCTGACAAACTAAAAGTAATCCGTTATTAAACCACTGATCAAAAAATAAAGTTCTATTTTTGTATAAAATATTTTGATTGTTCCAAATAAAGAATTTATGGGGAGTGAAATTATGTTTATATATTAAAGCCCATGCCAAAAGTACCTGTTGGTGGAAATTTGAAAGTTTGATAGGAATTTTTGATAAGTTGTAGTTGCACATCAGTAAACATCGTATACCTCCAATATATGAAAAAGTTTGTTGAGGGAAAATATTCCAGATGGAGTTTTGATTATTCAAATATTGAAGCCAATTTATTTTGAAAGTGTAATTTAAAGAACTAAAATCAATCAAATTTAAGCCACCTTTGTTATAAGAATTTAAAATAACAGACTTCTTCATATAATGGCTTTTGTTTTTCCAGACAAAATCTGTTAGAGCTCTATCAACCAATTTACATAGGCTTATCTACATAAAGAGATTGGGCCATAAGAGAGACGTGAAAGTCCCTCAGCCTTCGTGAGCAAAACTCTTCCTTTAATAGATAGATCCCTTTGAAGCCAGCAATTCAGTTTTTTCTTAGTTTTTTCAATAATCGGATTTAAGTTTGTTGCACATCTATTTTTTTCTTTAGTTATTTCTATACCAAGATATTTAACAGTGCCTTTAACAGCTATGCCACAGATTGAAGAGACATTACAACTTTTAATGGGAAATAATTAACATTTATCAATATTAAGGTTTAGACCAGAAGCTTTAGAAAATGACTAAAGAATATTTAAGGCTATTGAGATTTGAGAGGAGTCTTCTAAAAACAATGCTGTGTCATCAGCTAATTGACTAATGATTAATTCTGCATTTCCAACAGTGATGCCTTTTAGGTTACTCCTTTTAATATGTAAATTAAGAAATTGCACTGTAATTAAGAACCGATAAGGAGACACTGGGCATCCTTTACGCACATCACGATTTAGAGAAAACCTGGGAGAAGTACCGTTTTTTAGTTTAATTGAACTATTTCCATTTACATATAACATTTTAACCATCTTACAGAAATAATCCCCAAAGCTACTTGCCAAAACTTAACGGCACGGACACACAAACGGAACATCATTGTTCGTTGGATACTTTTAAAGGTTTAAAACGAGCTACTTTTCAGAGTCGTAGCTAAGCTATAACACCTAGTGTAGCCTACAATTGGTTAAATTCCTCAAATTATAGGTGGAACAAAATCAAATGAATAAATATTTTATTTGAAGTTATTTTGAATAAATTTAAGCTCAAAAGAGATTTTTTTACAAAAGGAAAAGGTAAAAACAGAATAAGAAGCTAGAATAAAAAAAAAATTAAAACAGCAGAAGAAACGAGCTGTTCTTTTTAGCTCCTGTCACCATTCTTTACTAGGCCTATATCTGGCTTTGAAAATACACACTGCTGAAATTATTATTAGCAATACATTTTCTGTATTACACCCTGATCCCCCTCCCAGTAGTTTCAGTTCTGCATATGTTTTCGTTTTTACTGAAAGACATAGTCGTTTACTCTCTGTGACAGTGGAGCCTTCACAAGCAACCTCTGAATGTTACTATTATTGTTATGTATTTATTGTTAGTTTGTGTTTATGTGTGTGTGTGTGTGTGTGTGTGTGTTAACGTAGCAAGCCTTTTTGAACCATGTAGCACACATTATGGCGCTGTCACACTTGTCCTGACATTTTTTTCCCCATGCACCTTATTTGCATCGACCAGCAGCCTGCGTTCTAAGCCTCGAGAAATGCTGGGAAATTAACCACTTTTCTGAGGACGTGGCAACTCCAACTCCTAATGATAGTGGTAAAAGTCTAGAGACTTGTTCCTCAAACATAATGCATAATGGTGTTCTGGTACAAAGTTCTCACGTGGTTTACCACAAATGCAAGCTGTTTTGTAGCATAATGTACATGAATCACTGTGTTGTAGTACCAGGTTTTACTGAATCAAACCAAACTCTTATTTTCACGACTATAAAGCACCATGGATAATCATTAGATATATTCCAGAAATTTTGTTTACAAGTAACATATGGATCTTTTGATGTTGATGCTTTTATGTGGGTGTGACCCGACTGTATTTCTGATTGGCTGTTCTGACATTTGAGGAGATTTGCATATTCACCATGTTATAATGAATATTTGAGCTAGTGTTTACAAAGTCAATCTGCCTTTAAAAAGTATTTTGTTGGTTCCACCTGTTTTTGCTGTTAGATATCTTCATCGGGCAATTTCAGATTCAGTGTGTATTCAAAATCAATTCGCCACTCAGAAATAGGAGATGAAGTCATTATACACGATAAAGATTTATTATGTAATTTTTCTTAAGTTCCATTTAACAAGTGATTTTTTTTATGGGATGGAAAATTACTGCAGTTTATATCCTTGAATAAAGACTTAAGAAATGTCCACTTGTCATTCTGGAAATTAATTAGACAGAGAAAAACTATTTATATTTATTTATTTATATTGTCCTGGGTTAAATGTTCTTACTTTGACATTCTTTTAAAATAGGTGTCGAATGGCCTAAATGGCTTCAGTCCTTCACACAATGCCATTAAATAGGTAAAGACCTCCACAGAGGTAAAAAGAGAGAAATATTAAATACATATTTTTACAAGAAGTTCAACAAGTTCTGATTTTCTGGCAGAGCACAATTTCTCCATTATAGTTTGTCCATCAGGTAAAACAGAGAGAACATCATCCGTAGTGATTTTTGAGGGTTGTTGCTAGGGGTGGAACGGTTCGCGGAAAAAAATCGAACCGTACGGTTCTCCACACACGGTCCGGCACGCGCTAGGACCGCGGTTCAACTTAAATCTGACAACGCATCTGTAATATGGTTTGCTTTAAATAACTGTTGATGGATGCGCATTCTGGCTTCCCAGTACATTACAACAACAGCGATGAAAAAAAAAGAAAAAGAAAAAAACCTTGGACAAACCATTATTCACTCTTGTTCAATGCGAATGCCGTATGCTGGAATATGAGCAGTCATTTATTACGTCATCACCTGGGTGCTGATAGCGCGCGCGCACAGGTGAAACCTGAACAGCACACGTTGATATCTGTGTTTAAACTAAACTTGTTTAAGCTTTGCCAGTTTAAATATTTAAGAGCCAGAGGACGCGAGCTCACGCGCTCAGTGAGGAGATTTGTGCGGGCACTCATCTGAAGCGCGCAAACCCGCGCCTCAGAACACGCACAAATATTAAACTCTCTCTGAAGTATTGTGTTTAAATGGACAAATTCACACAAAAATTTTGTCAAAATGCCCGTCTTGGTAAGTATCCTATAGCAGACAGTGCGTGCGCTCATCCGAAGCACGCAAACCCGCGACTCAGAACACGCGCAAATATTAAGCTCTCTCTGAAGTATTGTGTTTAAATTGACAAATTCACACAAAAATTATGTCAAAATTCCCGTCTTGGTAAGTATCCTATAGCAGACAAAGCCGGCTGAACGAACTGTATCAGTGCACTGGATCCGTGCATTCTCTTAAAGTGACAGCACTTTCTTAATATTAATTAAACAGCAACAACAAAGAAATCAATCACTGCTCTTGATTGAATAGCTTTTGTAACTTTAATAAAGATTAATCTTTAATTTATACAGTCAAATACGCAATGCTGTTTTACATTTCATTACTTTATTCAATTTCTGTACCTAAAAACTAATGTTAGACCTACCTAAAAAAACTGAAAATCACTGTTTATTTTATTTGTATCTTTATTCTATTGTATTTATTTGTGCTGTTGCTGGTAGTTAGATAGATTATTCTTATTTTCTTTATTTTTATTTGTCAGTATAGTTTTTCCCTAAACATAGCACATACCGAACCGTACCAAAACAGTGACTCTAAAACTGTGATACAAACCGTGAGTAAGTTGAACCATTCCACCCCTAGTTGTTGCATTAAAGCACATTTTAATCGTCAATATGAATTCTTTCCAGAAAATTCCAAATTTCCTCACAGCGAGGATTTTTGCCATTCATCCCAGTTTTTTAAGAATCTTAATGCTCTTCTGTTTGTCGTCTGAAATAGCTGGGATTTCTGCCACATTCATGTGAAAGTTGATTGAATCTTCTAACCATCTGCAGTTGTATAGATAGCAGGCATAACAATAGTAAATATACTGTTGGCTGTGGGGAGGGAAATCATCCATTCCTGACAGGAGCTGCTTGTAAATCTTATTTGCTTTCTCACTGTTGCTTGCGTACTTGTGCATTGATGCAAGGGCTACCGTTTCTCTGAGTGAGTCAGGATAATGTCTGACAACCTCCTCAAACAGCTTAGTGGATTTCATAGCCAATGTCCTCCTTTCCATGCTGTCTTCCTTAATATTGTAAACCTTCCATTTGTAGCAATTTGCCAGATATTTCAACACTCTATTTGAGGTGGGGAACTTTTCTCGAGCTCTCTCTGCTGCTTTAATAGCTTTATCTACAGAAATGGTTCTAAAATACCTGAAAATAATACCCAAACACTCCAGGTCTTCAGTTTCAAGAGTTTTTTCTAGTAAATCTTGCATCTGTCTCTCATTGTCTTCTCGTTGCACCTCAAACGTTTTTAGTATATAAAGGGATTGAAGGAACAAATCATTTGGGTCCATCTCTGCTGCCGTTTTCACCTGCTGTAGTATTTCAGCCTCCAGCTGTGGAGTAAATTCAGACTTTATATATGCCCTGCTCATGGCTATGGCAAGACTTTTGTGCCATTCCTTCCTTTCTGGTTCTGCTTTCAAAGCCATCTTAAAATAATCAATTGCCTGACGCTTCTTGGACTTGTTGAACTTCACCAGCATCCAGCCCTTTTCTCCACTGACTTCAGGGTGTAGAGCACATCCAGGTGGAGCAGGATGCATTCCCTGAAGCCTCTCCACCTCTTCTAGGTATCCTTTGCTCTTATCCATCTCTCCCATAAGGAAGTAGACCCAAGCCAGGTTAGCTTTGTTAACCTGCAGCCGGACTCCAGCTTCTTCTGTTCCCTGCTCCTGCATCACACTTTCTGCTTTGTGCAGGTACTTCAGCGCCTCTGTGTTGAAGCCGAGAGACTGTTGGATGTAGCTCAGCAGGTTATAATAGTGAAGTAACCAAGTGCATCTTTCCTGGTTCACATCTTTCAAGTTACTCCGTAACGCCTTGAGTTCATTTTTACTGTATCCCAGATCCCAGGTGAAGTGGCACTCCAGCTTCTGAAGGTGTTGTTTCAGGCTGGAGTTACAGAATCATTTAGAAAAAAAAGATGTCGTATTTTTGTTTACATAAAAATATAGAATATCTAGCAGCCATTGAACAGATAATCAACATTTTTAATAGACTACAAGATTTTTACACAATCCCACATACAGTCTAAAAATCTGTCATGCATTTTTGCATATTTGAATGGTAAACAATTTACTCCATAAATGGTCAGCGGTGGTCCGGTTTGAGAGATGTTTCTTCTAGCAGTGTTGATTTGTTGTTTATGTGAGTCACTGAGAGATCATGCTGTATTCCTGTATGTAGTTAACTAATGCAACTTTATAAAGTGTTACCAAACATACTCAGCTCCACTCTCAATATGAGCCACTATTTACAGTTGAACTCTTTTAAACATTTCTTTTGTTGTGTCCAGCTGTTTTGCTGCTAGATCTCTCTCTATTCATCAGATTCATTGTGTATTTCAAGTCAGTCAAATCTTTTCCATATCAACAGAAACAGGAAATGAAGTCACAAGCAATAAACAGATTTAATGAGTTCCATACAACAAGTGATTTTATTACAGATAATAGGATGGAAAATTTCTGCATTTTCAAAGTGTGTCATGTCATTGGATAGAGATGACTCCTTATCAGCTGATACATTTATTCTTGCAATTAGACATACAGGAAATCTATTTATAAAAAATACTTCATATAGTTTTGGGTTAAATGTCTTAAAAACAGGGTAAAAGTGAAATGGGACACAGTCTGATAATTTGTCATTGCCGTTGCTATGAGAAATGTAAAGCCACAAAATTAATATTCTATGCACAACTCACACAGAATTAACTAAACCAAATTAAGACCAACATAAACCCACTGCAAATTTCTTCAAACGCATGGTTTCCTGGTGAAACACTTAAGAAAATTCACCAAGCAATGGTAAACGTGACCGCACCTTTACACTTATTTATTCACTTTGCGTGAATAAGTGAAATAAAGAGAATACTTACTCATCATTAAGAACTGTCTTTAGAAATTGCAAAATCTCCTCACAGCGAGAGTTTCTGCCATTCTTCGCAGTTTGTTTAAGAATCATTATGCTTTTCTGTTTGTCCCCTGAAATGTTTTGGATTTCTGCTGCTTTCATGAGAAAGTTGATTGATTTGTCTCTGGACTGTCTACTCTGATGTAGATGGCACACATAACTATAGTACAGTAACTGTTGAGTATGAGGAGGGAGATCATCTTTCTCTGACAGGAGCTGCTGGTAAATCTCATTGGCTCTCTTAGTGTTCTGTGCGTAATGGTGCAGTGTTGCAAGGGCTAACCATCCTCTGACACAGTCTGGGTAATGTTTGACAACCTTCTCAAACAGCTTCATGCATGTCTGAGTCAAGATCTTCCTTTCCTGGCTGTTTTCCTTCATAGAGAACACTTTCCCTTTGTATAAATTTGACAGGTTTCTCAACTTTAGGGGAAGTAGTAGGGAAGCCCAGCAGGTTGTAATGGTGGATCAGTCTGATGCACTCCTGCTGCTCAACATCTTGCATGTTCCTCCTCAACCCCTGGAGCTCATTTCGATATTGCCCCAGATCCCAGGTGAAGTGGCACTCCAGCCCCTTGAGGTTGCTTTTCAGTGGGGAACTGGAGTTACAGAGAAAAATAAATTAGTCTAACGAGGACATTCACAGCTGACACAACATTTAGATCAGAGGACATTGAGAAATTTATTTGAATGTTATACAATAAAAATAAATCAACAATAAATCCTCAATTAAAGAGAAGAAAAGGTAAGAATGGTAAGAAATCTTAAAAATACAAGTATTAGGTCTAGAAATAACAGCATAAAAATGATTTAAATGTTGAGTTCTTTACTCGCTTTCTGTACACAGTTTATTCCACGTTGTTTTTTTTATTACTTTATTTTAAAAGAGAACTTGCGAAGTCTTGATTTACTACTAATGCGTAAAATAGAAAAAAAATGCATAAACGCATCTCCGACTGTTTTGTCTGTCTGTGTGGCCTATAAGAATAGGCCTATGTCGTGCAATAACGGTTTTAATATATTCTATATATTATATTATTATACATATACTATATATATTATTATAGAGGCTCACTTTTTTAAGGTGACTGAAAATTTTGCTTGAATTCGTAGTTTAGTCTTACTTTTGGAAACCTAATTGTTTTATAATTACTACTATTATTATTATTATTATTATTATTTATTATTTCTGTTGTTTCTAGAAGTAGTAATTTTGATAATAGTCAAGAGAAAAAAATATAACCACGCACACATTGTTTGTCCACAGAATAAGTACACATTATTCAATAAAAGCGTCCCCTCACGAACCTCTACCTCCGCCAGCAGGACCTCAATTTCAGACTCAGATAAGTTTTTTTTGCCTTTGTTTTTCTTTGTGCTCGTCATTCCCAAGCATAGAAATTCGGATATTGGCATGTGCTCTTTTATATGGTAATATTAATTGGGGGGCGTTTACAAGGCGGAGATCTGACACCAGTCAGCTGCGCACAATTTCAAGATCATTTGCGATTTATAATTGTCACATCTGGAAGAGAGGCGTACGCGCCGTGTTTTTGTGCGCACGTTCATTTTCTCTGAATCGCAGTTACGCACAGAAATGATCTTACAACAAATTTAGGATGGTTTATACGCAATATTTTATAAATGAGGCCCCTTCACTTTGTATGAGACTTTATATGTATTTATGACAATGTTATCTCCAAAACAAGGCCATTTAACACATGGCGTTAGGATCCATTTCGTGTAAGTTTCTGTTCTTTGCAAGGTTTTGTTTTCGTGAAAATGAACAGGCGCAATGTCCACCGAACATTTCAGGGTAATTATATGCAATATATATGACTAAGTGTGGCAAAAGGGGTCAGGTGTTTGAAAATTACCAATAATAAGAGAAATCCTATAGTCGACTACGCCACCCGGAATACACCGGGACATAACAGCACAACCCTAAGCAAAGGGGCACAGGTTCGTTGCCAAAGGTAGGGTGAGCATGAAGACATAGACAGATATATCAACAAGAATCACTTTATTAACATACAATAAAAACAAACAAACAATACTTCACACAAGGTCTCAAATCACATCACAAGTCTATACCAGTAACATACAAAACCATAAGTACAATACGATAAAAACAAAAATAAAGAGGGAGGTGTCCAGCAAAGACCCTCAGATTTCTACCCTACACTCAATACCCATGACACACACGCATGCGAACAATCAAAAAATTTTAAACACAGCACTCCATGTGGACACACAGTACAGGGTACCATGGCCAACCCCTCCCACTTTAACGACCTAAAACCAAAACAATATAAAAAAAAATATTAATACAAATCAAAACTCAATTCATAACAGTTTACACACAAAAACACCAAAGCACAAACAAACAGCCACTGGCACTGAGGAGGGAAATAAAATGGCCAAAAAGAGCCAGATTACAGGAATTTAGCTTCCCGGCTAACTCATGTACAGACCAGTGCTTCAAACACAAAAACAAACAAAACAAAATACATAACAGACGGACCCAGATGTGTTCCAGACAAAACTGTTAAAACTATAACATAACAAAAAAACAAAACAGAGCAGCAGTGCAGTCAGTTACTTGATGTTTGTTAGGCTTCAATTAAGATCATTGGAAATGACCCTGGATGTGCAATCAAACCTGCCGGACACTGAACAGAAAACGTTACTCATAAAAACACTGGTTAAAAACAAACAATAAACTCTCCATACATACCAAGAAAACGGTACAATGGAACAATTGATAGTACAATTACGCAGCGCCTGAAAATAGTCCCCAGCTAGGTAACTTCCAATAAGCCTATTTTCAGGCGCTGCGTAATATCATTGCGCCTAGTGCACCCATGGTTCCTTGATTATTACGCCGGAATGAGAGTATAGTTCCTAGCCATATCGGCCTAGAAAATCGCAACTTTTCATTTTCCGTCGGTCTTAGTACACAATGTGTACTAAGAAGAGTCAAATTTTAAATAGGAAAAATATAGAAACTCTTTGGTCATTTTTGAGCGAGATGCTAACGGTCTAATCAGATTCAATGATCTATGTTAAGCTACAGCTAAAAGTGCTACCGCCAGACCCGGAGATCAGCTGAATGGATTCGAAAATGGTTAAACTCAACTGTTTTAACTCTAGGGGAGTTGGAAAATTAGCCTATTTTCAAAAATAGTGGAGTGTTCCTTTAAATTACTAAATAAATTCAGGGTGGAGGTATACTGAGAGAAAATGACATTTGACACCAAAATAAAAGTGAATGACTTGAACAGTTTGACTTTGTTTACAGATCACTCTAAAATTACCTATTTTTGGTTATTATGCTGCCAGCTGTCAATGACCAAATCTATAGCAAACGATTCATAACTAGAATTTTTGTTTTGACTGATCAACATTATTTAGACAAGTTAAGAAATTCAAATTCTGCTACTGGTATTTTCAAACTGTTTTCATAATATGAAATATGAATATCTAATGTCGAGACAAAGTTATAATTTAATGTTGTGCATTTTTAGTTCACAACTCCCATTCAGTCTATGGCTGAGCTATTGCTTCTTTCTCAATAATTTTCTGGATCTCGTCTGCTGTTCTTCTTTCGTTCATGTGACGAAGAGTTTTGATGAGAGCTGGGTAGGCTCCATGTAAACCTTGTCTCTGAGACCAAGCTTGCAGAAGTGCGAAGGTCTGTTCTTTCACATCGTTACGGTGATTAAGCTCATGTTGCTCAATATCAGTTTTGCTCATGCCACTCCGCTGGGCAACACGTTTCATTGTTTTCCAGCCCAGAACATCAGCAATTTCTGATAGGTGAGGGTTCAGCTCTAAATCTACACAGAAAAAGAAGACAGCACTGATTTAAGCTTATTATCCTGCTATTATTTGAACTGTGATCTACTGTCTTTATTTTCTCCAGAAACGTTCCATCTATAGGGGATCAAATAAGGCATGCGTTTATTTTAAAGGTTAATTTAAATAGTTTATT